AAAGAAAAAGAGGAGTGAGGTTTCAAACAGTGAAGAAAAGAAGAGAGAAAAGAAGAGCTGTGTTCAAGTTCATTTGCACGCATACCGACAAACTTACCAGTGTGGGTTTCTTTATAATTTTCCTCTGGAATTACCATTTTGTCCCTATTCTTTCTTCGAAATGACATCTTTCACCCTCTAGATCTCATCACCTCCCTCTCAACGTCAAACTTACCAAATCTGTGTCTATAAATTAATTATTTAATAAAAATAAATAAATTAGTTTGTAAAATCTATTTTAACTCTAGAAAAAACCTAATTTTTGTTAGATTTACATATCTTAAGGATGCTCAACTTGGGTTTTGTCTTGTTTCTTGGAATGGTCAAATGTTTGAACAATAATAATTAGTTTATTAAATGAATATTAAAAAATAATTAATTAATTGAGGAGAAAATAGTTAAATGCGATTTAAAAAATATGAAATTAAAAATTAAATTTCTAGAAAGCTCAGTTGGAAGCAGAAAACGACGCATTGTAAGAATCATCATTATGAGTCAACAGAGACAGTAGTTTATGGATTTCTTTCTTCAACTTAAATATGTTTTTTCATTTTTAAATATAAAAACGTGTTCAAGACAAGACAAATTTAATCCATTTCTCTAGACTCTAGACTCTAAAGGGGGTTTTCAAAAATAATTATATTTTGAAGAATTTTTTGTATTTTAAAGGAAAATCCACAAATTGTGAGACTTTTTTTTTTTTTTTATTTTCTTCTTTAAATATTTAACGAATGTCTTAAATGTGTCTAAAATAAATGTTAAAACATTAGAATAAAACATTAGCATTTTGATGAATTGAAATTTATATATATTTTTTTTGTCGTTTTATATATAATATCGAATAATAAGAAAACTATTTTTTTTATTTTTCTTAAAAACACACATTAAAACAAGTCATAAAAACCCCATGGGTTTATTTGACGGTTAAGAAGTCTTGCTCTCTTCTTTGAGTTACGTGTTCAAACATTGGGGTTATCTATCACAATAATATTGTGGTTTAACTGGTTATTTTGCTTATAAAATGTTAATAGATCTTAATTGTTAATTGAGGTCATGATTGTTAGTATCCTACAATACATGATATGTATCATACGATACGATCGATACAGGTCACCAATGATACGTATCAGAGAGTGTATCCTAAACCTTTCGATACGTTAATATGTATCCTACGATACGATATGTATCCGTTCATATCTTAAAATATCGATATAAATCGATACGACTTTATAATTTGGGCCAAAGGTCCAAAAAAATTTCGGGTCAAAACCGGGTCATCCAACCCGATTTACTAAAACCTATTCAATTTACCCATTTTACATCGAGAAAGTGAAAGAAATATGTATTTCCTATTTTACTGATAATATAATATAAGTGGAGATATTATATGACATTGATCTTGAAATTTTGTGATTAATTTTGATTATGTAATACCGTAATTTAAAGCCAATATACCACAAAATTCTTTAATTAATCTTGGGGATGATATTAATTTTAGAAAATTTTGATTATTTATTATTTTTTTTGAAAAAGGCGTATCTTACGATACGATATATACACGATTCAAAAAATTAGGTTTTCGATACACGATTTGATAACCATGATTGAGGTGTATATAAGCTATCTCGGACATCCCAAGTATCAAAAAAAAAAAAAAAAGTCATGGACCTATTGAAGTTTATTATTAAATTATGTCTAAGTTGTTAATTTGAAAATTAAGCATTCTACCATTCATCAAAGCTTTTACTTAGAACAAAGCTAAGGTGTTCTATTTGGTTTTGAATAAAGAAAATATAATATGTGATACTCATATAAATTCAATATAATATATAAATTAATACCTTAAGTTATTAGTTCCAACAAGTCTAAGAAATACTTTTCAATTGTAGTTTGAAATGTGTTTTGATAATTTATTATTTTATTAGTTTTTGTATGAAAAGAAAAAGGGTATATAGAAATTATAATTGAAGCAAAAAGACAAGAAACGACAATCGAGTCTATAAAAATAAAAATAAACATGCTTTTGGAAATTATAATTAATCTTATCTTAGTACAGTTTGAGTCTAAATTGTAGGTTGTATTTACTATTATTAAATAATCAATCACTTTTTTTAATTGCAATGACCTAAAAGATAAAAGAATATTCTTCCAACCCAAAATAAATAATTAAAAAGAAAAATAAAAAAAGCAGTGGCAGTCTCGAGATTGTTCTAGTGGAACAAGGACAATTACAAATCCAAAAATATTAGAGGGACACTGCTTTCAAATTCAATATTAGTTTCAAGGCGGTTTCTTAATTCCAGACCAAATTTTATTATTATTTTTTATTTATTCAATATTCTCCAGCACAAATTCTTACGGCGGGGTGCACACGACACACAACCCCGGTCTGGTCGGTCAAATTTGGAGATCCATGTCACAATTTTTTATTAATTACAAAAATTAAGATATATATATATATCATGAATTCTTTAATTTTTAAAAAAAGAAAAAATAATATTTCAAGTTGTAATGTGATGGGGTGTGACATTTTCACCTGCTTTTGGCATGCGGGAAAAGTAAAATCACGTGCTACCCACAATCAGAGAGACTAAAAGAAATATCTGATTGGTAATATAATATAATGTTTCTTTTACATAAAATAATAATGGAATTGACTAAATTAAACCTTTTTACAAGCAAAATGTGGGTGTATATAATTTATATGTAATGGGTTATAACTTATATTACATGACAAGCAAACAATAAAGAAATTTTTATTGGCGCACCAGGTTGAAATTAATCTTTTTGATACAATGATTGTGCATTATTGTATTGAGTATTTTTTAATTCTGTGGCCAATTATCTCAGGCCCCTCCTTCCCTTGTGATCTTGCTGTTAACTAAATCTTTAATTATAAAATCAACTTACTAAAGTCTTGAACCCTATTCACAAACCACTAACCCATTACCTATTTTGTTTATCATTATTATTATTATTATTATTATTATTATTTGCATTTTAAACACAAACCCATTTTCTATTATTCACTAAATATGTCAATCACAACTTAAATATTGTTGTGTGTGATTTTGCCATAAGAGCTCACAAATCTCAGAAGCTTACAGAGAGATAGTTTGATCCAGAGTAAGCTCGATCTAGGCGAAACTCGTCACAGCAATCAATCCAAACCGTTGTTCAACGAAATCAAATATAAGCTTCAATCTTGGATATTTCAGAAGAGATAAGATTAACACTACTGGTAATGCAATCTCAGTAATCAATCACGGAATTACAAATCAACTTTGATTGCAATCTTGAACTTATCTCTTTTTCCACGAATTACAACTTGTATAAAAACCCCCTCAAACGATGAGTGAGGGGTTAGCAATTTTGTTTAGGCATATTACTTGTTATTGTAAGCCCTCAAAAGCAATAAGATAACAGTGGATATAGGTTCAAGTTCTAACTTGTCGAACCACTTTAAAAGTCATTTTGTGTTCTTATTTTACCGTATTTTACATTCAATTGCTGGTTTATCTTAAATCACGTACACATTAGTTCTAGTTCTATTAAGGTCAATCGGTTCTCTCATGTTGGTGCGATTTTCGTATCAACAAATATTAGCAAAATTATATTAAAGTAATATTTTATTGGGTGTGAAATGTGAATAAAAAAAAAATAACTCATTTGTAAAAGTTTCTCAATAAAATTGTCTTATATTAAAATTTCAACACCCGCTAAACCAAATTACTGAGTTTTTAATTAAAAAGGGGTAATTGGGTCTATTAACTATTGAAATTCTGGAATAAGGAATTAAGGATATTTCCCGGAACACCTTTACAAACATACTATTTTGAAAGATCCAAAAAATGTTGAAATTTTTGTATTAGGGGTGTTGAAGTTAACTCACGCGTCTCAACTAATTTTCAGGGTTTATTGAACACTTTATAAGTCCAAAGGACCTGGTAAGTCACAAAGTAGTAGATAATCTTGAGGTTCGAATTCAGGACTCAATGAAGAGAGTAAACCTCCTTGACTACCCCTAATCTTGAGTTATGAGTTATACTAAGGTGATGAATTACCATAATGAAAAAAAAAAAATGGTTATTTAATATAATTTTTTTAAATATTATTGTTCAATTAGATGAAGGATTAATTATTGCTTTAGCATCTTCAAGAAAACGAAACATTATTGCAGTTATCTATGAAGATCCCGGCATCGATAGGGAGGTACAAATTTCTCCAATAAAGTTGAGGATATGCATGAGATTAAGCAGTGGTCATATTTCTAAATTTACGGGTTCATATTTCCTAATGAAATGCACAAAACCTTTTTTGTTTCTCTATAATCTTTAGGAGGAACTTAACCATAATCTGTAATGAAGCTGTAATTTCTAAATTTGTGGTTACTATTAGTTAGCAAGAAAAAGAAAAAGAAAAGATAAAGACCGAAGAAAGGGACCAAACATGATTCAGATTCACAACTAATGTAAATAGTGTTCTACAGTTAGAAAGCTAACTAAAAGCGTTAATGAAAAAGATTTTTGACAGTAGATTTGACTGTGTAAAAACACAGTTATTTCCCAGAAAAAAACAAAAGTCATCCTCAAAATTTTTTTATTAAACAATTGAATCATGCTATTTTCTTGAAAAAAATAAATTCATTACCAGAAAGAAATGAAAACACAAAAGCTTTGAACAGGTAATGTCATATCAGAGATATAAGTTTTCATAACAAAATAGTGAAAGAGACATAATGAAGTAGTAGTAGGAATAGAAATGGTAAAAAATTATCACACTGGAAACAAAAATCGGAATAAAAGTTTATCTTCAGAAATGGTATGTTTGAAGTTGAAGTGGGAATACAGATGATTGGAAAAGATGGATGTTTGTTTGGATATTAATCCAATTTTTTCAACAGGGAAATGATTTTTCCAATCTTTATATGTATTGACTTTGCTCTCATCTTGAGCATGCCT